GAGAGAAAGAGAGAGAGAGAGAGAATAGATAGAGAGACGAGGCGAGAGAGAGAGAGAGATAACAAACCTACAGGATAATGGGTTGAATAAGTTCGTACGTTTCTGGTTAGATTAGTATTTTCTATTGTGCATGTCGTGGCAAATCAGAAGGTCTGAGTTACGCAGACAATGCGCGCAGTTGTTGGAAGACAACGAGTGCCGTAAAATATTAAAACAAAATAGTAATCGTTGCCTTACTTGTGTATAACTCCGTCTTTCGTTGCACTTAAATGATTTCCCGACCGGCGCCTCACAGTGGGCCGGCCAGGTGAGCATTTACGAGGATATTTGTAAGTGTAGGTGCAAGTGTAAGTGCAAGTGTAAGTGCAAGTGTAAGTGCAAGTGTAAGTGCAAGTGTAAGTGCAAGTGCAAGTGTAAGTGTAAGTGAAAGTGCAAGTGTAAGTGAAAGTGCAAGTGCAAGTGTAAGTGTAAGTGCAAGTGTAAGTTTAAGTGTAAGTGTAAGTCTAAGTGTAAGTTTAAGTGTAAGTGTAAGTGCAAGTGTAAGTGAAAGTGCAAGTGTAAGTGTAAATGCAAGTGTAAGTGCAAGTGCAAGTGTAATTGCAAGTGTAAGCATAAGTGAAAGTGTAAGTGCAAGTGTAAGTGTAAGTGTAAATGTAAGTGTAAGTGTAAGTGTAAGTGCAAGTGTAAGCGCAAGTGTAAGTGTAAGTGTAAGTGCAAGTGTAAGTGCAAGTGTAAGTGTAAGTGTAAGTGCAAGTGCAAGTGTAAGTGCAAGTGTAAGTTTAAGTATAAGTGCAAGTGCATGTGTAAGTGCAAGTGTAAGTGTAAGTGTAAATATGGGCTTAGTAACACCTGGACGAAGCCATTCAACACCGGCACGAACTATCTCCATGATCGGAGCTTTATAACCCTTTATAACCCATTAATTCTTACAGCCTGCAGCTTTATGAGCAAATTCACGACTCCCTAATGACCTTCAACGGCAGAAGGCAGCACTCTCTGAACATTTATCAGTCCCCACTCAGTGGTGCCAGCCTCCATGAGGGCGATGGTGAGGCATTCATGAGGAACACCGGGAGGAAGGAACTTCTTGGATGCAGTCAAGGTATTATTGGATGATATTAGACATAATGGAAGCGTATTACCTCTCTCAGAGTCATTTTGCTTCATATAAAGGTCCGTCTTGCTGCGGGGATCGATTATGTTTATTTGCTGTGTTAATAATCTGCTCTACAAGATCGTTAAAAAACAATTAAATTAAAGAAAGTTCTATATTTTATTTTGTGTTTTGTGTTCATTTTGTGTGCTTACATTGCTTGAAAATGACGGTGCATCCACTTTCTAAACAACCTTGTTGACAAGAAGTAGTTCACATACTTTTACTCATTAAATATTAAAATTGGAAATTCTTTCAAGTTGCATTCGGCCTAATGTAGTTTGTAGTTGTTGTGTCGGCCTAATAGTTCCACACACTCTTGCGTGATCCTCGTCGTTTAGGGCAGCTTGGTTGGAGTCTCAGCACGCCTGACGCTGCAGGTCTGGGCATTCATACATCGTAAACACTTTTCCACTTGCAGCATCTTAGGAATTATTATAAGTGCCACGGCATATTGCACTTGTCTTACTTCCTTGTAAGAAGTGCTGTGATATCCCCTACATTAGCAGAAACAGTGACTTTGTCATTATATGTGAACTCTACGACAGCTGCCAGTGAAGTTGGGAGGCAGCTGGTCGAGCATTATATATATACAGTTCTACAAGCATCCGGAGAGTGTTGTATTGCCTTTTAATCTTATGGATTACAATAAATCAATTATTGCTCAAAATTGCTTACCATGAGGATAGATAACTGTTGTTCACTGATGCATGACGGGAAATGTTTTCCTAGTGTCTATTGTACTCAACAGATGGCACTTTTATGTTATTATTTGTTGGCAACTCACATTATGTTTGCTTCACCTTTCCTATACTTTAAAGTATTGAGGAGTTGATATGAGTTTACGTATAGTAACAGTCCAGAACGTTGGTCAGTCACAAGTGTTCCCTGGTGTTGGTAGGACGTAAGTTGCATGGTGATTGCGAGAGCTCGTGTAGTCTTCAAGGCGAGTTGGATATCTTTATACGAATTGTTGTTACGTGTAGCAGTTATTTTTATTTCCATAAATTTTGAATGTGCTAGAGCGTGTTATTTATTTTTAAATAGATGTGCTTTTAATAAATCTTTGTACAGAAATTAATTTTCTCAATTTAAAGATACGTAATATGATTACATTTTGTTTCTGCTTAACTAAAGTGGGTTCTGTAGTCTTATTTTTGACAGCTCTCCCTTTTTGAGCTCCATGACTCGGAGAACATAACATTCGCTTGTTTAGTCTGAATTCCCTATAAAAAGTCTTAAACCTATTATTTTTCGTATCTACTTTCACCAGATGCAGAACAAAATTAGCATGTTGGCCGTTTTGGCTATTACCGTTACTGTGGCAACGGCGCGGGAAATTTCTCCTACTCCTGTTAATGTAACAAAGCTTGACAACTCGACGGACCCGGAAGTTCCCCGCCTAGTGACGGCCAGACAACTTATCCCGCCACAGTTCCCACCTCTTCCAACATTATCGTAAGTTGTCTAACTGGTTTCATAAAATTATCTTGTACAAATGGTCTTGGACAGTCTTATTAAATTGATTATTGTTGGGTTATTATAACCCTTGAATAAAATTGAACTTGCAACCAGTGGATATGTAGTGTGGAGTTTGTATTTTGGGGGGAGAGGTTGGTCAACCACTGAAACATTAAATTGTTCCAGACTAGGCACTTTGTACTGGTCTCTACCACCACTCAAAATTAGATCACCTTGGTTCGATCACAGTAACTCTTGTATCTAATCCTTTAGCTTCCTCTTGATACTCTTAATGTTCTTAAATTCTTAAGAATGTTCTTACCAGTGATTTTTTGGTTTATCCTGTTCGTAATGCCAAATTATGGAAAGGGTGTTGTGGTACCAGTGTCTTCTCCCCATATCAATGTGTAATTAGCTATTGGTCTCTTAGCAAAAAGACGTCACAACTACAGTTTCACCATTAGACGAGTTTCAAACGCACTCCTGACCTTGAGATTTTCTAAAAGTCAGGCAGGACTCTTGCTATTAGTCCTTCCAATTAAATGAAGTGTTGCCTACTTGTACGTGAATATGAATTGGTCCTTACACGCCTGGAACTAGATAGAAAAGTACTAATTATTTTTTTCTTTATTAGCCAGAACGTGGCCTTTAGTGTGAGGAAGGCTACTGAAAGTCTCAACGCAGTGGCCCACGTTCACTTTCTGGCAAGTACAATAATAGATGAATAAACTTACTCGGGTGGAATAAAAGTTCATGAAAACCTGGTCTATAAATTTATTCCAAAATTCCCTTAAGTAGGATATACTACATTAGTGTAATATATAGCTGTATGTAATAAGATTCTCATAATAAATGGAATATTTTTGTCCCTTCTCTCCTCTAGGACGTCTTGTCAAATGTTGGCAGCGGATGGGACCCCGCTACCAGCGAATTCACGACTCCATATGATGGTGGCTACTTTTTTATTTTTCATGCAATAGGTGCCAGAAACAGCGACTTTACGTAAGTTACTACAGGGAGCATGGGAAGGGGGGTGGGGGGGCTAGTCTGTCCTCTATGCATATAAAATTTGCACTAGAGCTTAATTTATTTTCTTTTTTAGAATGGCCTTGACGAGAAATGGAGAGTATCAGGTGACTGCCTACGGTACTAGGCCAACCTTCGAACACGGGTCTAACTCTGTATTCCTGGTGTTGCGTCGCGGCGAAAAGATATCCCTGTTGCTGCAACAGGGCGGCATCTATGAACACCCGGCTAACGAAGCTTACACGACATTCTCCGGCTTCCTACTCTTCCATGTATAAATAACAATGGATAAAATCTTGCTGTCGTTATGTCTTCCAATAAAACTAAGTGCATATCTACTGTATCTAGATTTAATAACTAACTAAAGCTTAAAGCTGGTACGTAACACCCCTACTACCTGGGGTACTCGCAGCCTATATTTCTTAATACTGGAATGTACCTAGGAATTGAAACTAATCTGGTATTGGTTCTAGACTTGCAATTTTGTCATAACTTGAAGGCATCCTGGTCATAATTTGTCCTAAAAAGCATAATGTATAAAATTCCTGATAATTAAGATGTTATAACTTTCTAATAACTATCAGAAGTCTCTCTTTTTTTTATTAAACAGAATAAGTAAAATAAGGGCACCAGAGGGGGAGGGGACATTCCTTAAGGACTTTAGCTCTATTGCCCTGTCTAGTTGTCTGCAAACTATTTGAACGTATGGTTAACGCTAGTCTGATGTGGTTCTTGGAACATTATCACCACCCTCCCCCTTCTCATTTTGGTTCCCGCAAGTGCCGCAGCACAACAGATATCCTGATGAACTTGGTCTACAATCATATTGCTTTTGCTGCAGACCTCCGTTGTTGCCGTACTTTTTGACCTGGAAAAGGCTTAAGGCACCACTTGGCGATATCATATTCTGTCCCAACTTTCTTCTTTCCTTTCTTAATTCTGGTGTCTTCTCTGTTGATGCCCCCTCCCCATCCGGCCCTTTGGCGTCGTGAGGGGGCTTCGTGGTCGGCTGCCGGAGTGTGATGCTCCGTGGGACAGTCCTGTCCTTTTATGGCCTTGCACTCTTGCTGCTGTCTTCTCATTATGCCGGATCGCTTTTACTCTTCATAATAAGTTTTTTCTCCCTCCCCCCCCCCCCTCTTATGTCTGCTTGTAGTTTTCTGCCGACCTTTTGCTTGTTTTGGATTATTTCTTTGGACTTCTTCTATTTTGACGCCTGGGTGCTTGGAGGCATACTCTTGCACCCGTAGAACTGTTGTTCCCGACGTCGAGAGCGAGGGGAACCTTTTATTGTCAATCCCCCTTTCGTCGCTGAACCCGATCTCGACGGACTGACTGTTCTTCAGGTGGCGTTTGTGGGGCGTATACTCACGACGCACCCCTAAGGGGGCCCCGGCATGATCGGCGATAGCTTCCTGTTGGGTGTCCTGCCTCCAATTGTGGCTCCATGGTGGGGTATGGGGGCACATTCGTGGATGAATTTTTCTTTGTCTCTGTCGATGAATGTTTCCGTTGTACCCTCTTAGGCTCGTGGGGTTGGCGACCAAGCCCTCGAGTCGGCCTGTATTGGAAGACCAGGCTCTGTAGCTCCCGCTGCGTTGGGCCCCGACCTTGCTCCTCCTTTGACCGTCCTGACTTCTTCCCCCAGCTCCCCTTCCTCTGTGGTTGGGTCGAGCCTCCAGCCCCCAGTGGTGACCACTTCGTCTCCTGGTGCGGCCAAGTCTCTCGTTGTGACTACTGCGCCTTTTGACCCCTCTGGGGGTTCTCGACGCCGTTCGCGCCCCAGCCGCACTCGCTAGATTCCTTCCCGTGCTGACGCGTATCAGGCCTTGTTTGGTCCTGCTTCATGGGGTCAAATACTTTGATCTCCTCCTCTTGATTCTGCGCCTCCTGACGATTTCTCCCTCCATCGGCATCTTGTAGATTCCGTGGATGCGTCTGTTTCAACCCCACTGGTCTCGGTACACGTGTCGTTGCTGCTCCTTCTCAGGATGCAGCTTCCCGCTTGGCTGCCTTATCTTGCCTTGGCGAGATCCCTGTTCGGGTCTCCAAGAACGTTCAGATGAATGCCAGTGTTGGCACTATTCTCCTCCCACCCCATGTTGCAACCGGTGTTCGAAATCTGCAGGACTGCCACGATGATATTCGGCATATCCTTGATGCCCAAGGCCATTCTGTCCTCCAGGTTGACTCGTTCGCTCGTCCCCCTCGTGGTCGTCGCCGTCAACCCCTTCGCCTTGTGAAGATCACCTTCGATGGTAGGACCCTTCCATCCTGCCATTCTTGCTGGTGCCAGGTGCTCTGTCTAAGAGTATATTCCTTCTCCTCGACTTTGTAACAAGTACTGGAGGTTTGGGCATGGTGCCCTCCGCTGCTCTGGGACTCACTCTCTCTGTCCTTTGTGTGGGGGTGAAGGTCACCAAGTAGGAGTGCTCTTCTCCCCAAGCTCGCTGCCTCAACTGCGGTGAGGCCCATCCTACCTTCTTCCGTGCCCGTGTCCATTACAAGCTTGAGGCAGCCGTCCTCAACCTGAAGCACCGGGAGCGTTTATCTTTTCCTGAGGCGAGGTGCCAGGTTCGCCGGCTCCCGCCTTATACTAACGTCTTTTATGCTCGTGTGTTGCGCTCTTCCTCTCCTCGTCCTTCCCTCCTTCCTCAGACTCTCAACCGTTTCCGGGCCTTGGACCCTGATACGCCCACTGCCCCCTCCTGTTCCTTTGCGTTCTGTCCCGAGGGGTCCCCCTCCTGGTCCTCTGTCTGGGGTTCCCCTTCTTTCTACCCGGTCTATCATGTCCCCCTGTGTCTTCTTCCTCGTCTCCCTCCGATCTTCCTTCCCATCCTCTTCCTCCATCTATCGGCTCTCCCCGCCGCCTGTCGGTGCAGGCGGATGTCCATCGCTCTCCTAACGGCCGTCGTGTGTGCTCTCGTTCAGCTTCTCCTGTTGAGACACTGGAATCCGTTGCCCGGTACGTAGTTGCTGGGACACCAGTCTCTTTAAGTCAGAAGCGTAAGCCTGGCTCCTCTCCTTCCTCCTCCCCGGCGGGTAAGAAGGCTTCGCTTTCTTCCTCAGCTCCAACTTCTGGCTCTGTTGCTCCTTCCCCTCCCATTTCAGTGATTGCGCCCCCTGTTCCTGCTATGGAGGTTTCTTTGGCCCCTGCTTCCCTTTCGGTTGCTGCTCTTGCTGAGGTACGCTCCCCTCTTTCTACTCCCCTCTTCCTGCTGCTATCCTTGACTGCTCCTGTCTCCTCCTCTTCCTCCTCCTCCTCCTCCTCCGGACCCCGCCCGCCCACCTCTGATCTGTTCTCCCGTTTCCTTCCCTCTGTCTTTGCTCAGTTTACCCATGCCCCTTAACCCTGACTTTACTGACCCTGATCCCGACCCTGATATTTTTAACGTGCTCTGTTGCTCTTTCGCCTTTGTTTCTTCCTTGTTCTGTTTTTGTCCTTTCTCTTCTCGTCGATGTCCATTCTTCAATGGAACGTTCGAGGTTATTACGCCAATTTCTTCGAACTCCAACTTCTGATTTCGCGGTTTTCGCCCCTTTGTGTCTGTCTCCAGGAGCCAATGCTTGGTGCTCGTCCTGGTCGTTTTCGTGGCTATTCCTTTCTCTAACCCCCCCCCCAGCCATTGCTGGGGCTTCTAATTCTTCTGCTCTCTTGATTCGTGCAGATGTTCCCTTTGTTCCTTTACTTTTTCCTTCGCCTCTCCGTTGTTCTGCTGCTCGTATCTTTGTGGGGAAATGGTACACAGTTTGTTCCATTTATCTCCCCCCGAGTGTCCCGCTTTCTCTTCCTGATTTGAAACACCACCTAGACTCCTTGCCGGAGCCTGTGCTCCTGCTGGGTGACTTCAATTGTCGTCCATCTCTTTGGGGTGACGTTCTGACGAATACCCGGGGTCTCCTTCTTGAGCCGTTTTCTCCTTTCTTCTTCCCTGTCTCTTCTGAATTCTGGGGAGCCCACTCATTTGGACTCTCGGACCTTTTCTTGTCTTGATCTTTCTCTCTGCTCTTCTTCTCTTTACTTAGATTTCATGTGGCAGGTTCTTGACCTCCATGGAAGTGATCATTTCCCCATCCTTGTTTCCTTTTTCTCTTTTCGCCCTTCCCTCTTTTTCCCTAGGTGGCAGTTTACTAAGGCGGACTGGACCCTATTTACCCTCAGTGCTGCTCTCTCTGACCTCTCCCTTCTGCCCCTCTCTCGCGCTCTCCTCCTTTTTCATGACAGTCTTCAACGCTGCCCTCCGCTCTATTCCTCGCTCTTCTCTCGGGGTCCACGAAAGTGCATTCCCTGGTGGAATGCGGACTGTGCTCGGGCTGTCCGCTGTAAGCGTGCAGCCTGGAAGAGGCACCGCCGTAGGCAGACGACCGATTCTTTTCTTTTCTTTCGGAAAGCGAGTGCGGTGGCCCGTAGGGCCATCCGTACGGCTAAACGTGAATGTTGGGCATCTTATGTCTCAACAATTACGTCCGAATTCCCTCTGGCACTCGTCTTCAGCTTCCCTATAATGATCTCTTCTCCCTCTCTGAACTTCGTTCTGCCCTGGCCCTCTGCGGTTCTACGGCGGCGGGCTCCGATGGTATTCATTGAGATGCTTCGCCATCTCCCTCCGTGCACGTCTCAATATTTACCGAGTCTGTTTAATCGGATCTGGAAGTCGTCGTCAGTCCCTGAGGACTGGCTCGATGCCGTTGTCCTCCCTGTTCGCAAACCGGGGTCTCTGGGTACTTCCCCTAAGGACTTTCGCCCTATTGCCCTCACAAGTTGTCTGCAAACTCTTTGAACGTATGGTTAACGTTCGTCTGATGTGGTTCCTGGAACACCATCACCTCCTCTCCCCTTCTCAATTTGGTTTCCGCAAGTGCCGCAGCACGAGAGATGTCCTGGTGAACTTGGAGGTCTATATTCGTACTAATTTTGCTGCGAAGACCTCCGTTGTTGCCGTCCTTTTTGACCTGGAAAAGGCTTACGACACCACTTGGCGGTATCATATTCTATCTCAACTTCATTCTTTTGGCCTTCGTGGTCATCTCCCTCCCTTTCTCCGCAGATTCCCCTCTCGTCGTTTCTTTCGTGTGCGCCTTGGTACCGCTCTCTCTGCCTCTTTTTCAGCAATACGAAGGTGTGCCCCAGGGTAGTGTTCTGAGCACTACTCTTTTTCTGGTTGCCCTTAATGGTCTTCTTTCCTCTCTTTCTTCAGGTGTCTTCTCCGCTCTCTATGTCGATGATCTTACCCTTTGCTGTCAGGGTGATGATTCGCCTCTCCTTCAGCGCCGGCTTCAACTTGCAATTGATGCCGTGTCGTCTTGGGCCACCGATCATGGCTTCAAGTTCTCTA